GCTGCTGCTGTTGGAGGCGCCGTTGATAGCCAACTTATTTAGGCCAGACGGGCTTTCAGAAGACGAGGCTGGTGAACTGTCAGCGGCTGAGTGCTTCCTCTCATCGCCTTCAGTGACTACTACCGTCGTCTCGGGCGAACATTCGTTGACATCTGAATTTTCGACGTCTAAACGCATAAAACGATTTTAACCGCAACAACTGCAAGATTAACGACAACAGTCAATAGTTTATCCAGTCATTATGCAACTCAATTCACCTGTTACAGTAACTTCAAAATATTTTGCTATTCTAAATCTTTCACGGTGGGCAATGAACCATGACCAGCAAGAAACTGGTTATAATAGCTAAAACACTTACAGAAGGAGCAGTGAAAAAATAATCAGGAAAAATCCTTGCACAATTTTGATTTTTTTACGTTCTGTGGTACTGAGATAATCTTTTTGGACAACTGTACAGATAAGATTTCAGTGAAATTGTTTCATTTTGCTCCTAGCAACTTCACAAAAAAAATTGAGCACCATCAACGTCTAAATTCTGCCTACTGGCAGAAAACAGTCTATTCAATGTGACGAAAGAGAACGAAAACACTAGAGTATGCAAAGTCGATTGCCGAATGCCTCTCAGACACCTGCATCACGGGAAAATTCAACTGTTGATGGTATTATCAACAACTGTTGGTCAATTCTTACTTCTCAAAGAAAAGAATTTGCGTGCGATCTTGCAACTTATTCAGTTTTGTGACCAGTTTATTATACTGTGATTTTTCAGCGCTTACACTCTGCATGTTTATAGGCAGAATACAAGCCAGTCAGTCAGTTTCTATGATCGCTTATCGTTAAGAGTTGCGGAGGCATCAGGGCTAGACAAAGTCTTAGACTTTGTTGATCCTCTGCTAGAGTCTGAGTTTCAGCAAAAAATAATCTGAGTCCGCAGAAAAGGTCGCTGAAGTACTTGCCTAGGTCATTCTTGGCTGTCTGCAGGGTTTTGGCCAGTCGGCCAAGCAAGTAGTAGTTGTTTCGCATTCCTTTCTGGAAACATTCACAAAACATGCTAAACCATCATAGTTGTGGTACCTCAATCTGCAAAAGCAGCGGCTGTACAAAAAAGCTTCTAGGGCACTTGAACTGAGGATTATCGAGGCACATGAGGTCAATGATATGTCTCATAAAAATTATTTAACCTGGTCATGCCTATTCATATTAATACTGAAACCAAGAAAGTTGAATATGGGAGAAAGTTTAACATAGAAACAGACGACAGATCGCGAATCATGCAGATAAACGAATACCAGCGAATAGAAAATGAAACTACAGGAAGAAAGGTAGATATAAGCAGAAAGCAGAAACAAAATGCTTAATAAGTGTGAACACTGCCTTTAAATTGGGCTTTCTTAGTCGATGGCACAGAAATGGAGATCGTTTTACACCTCTAACACTATTAAAAGAAATGGTAACACACGTAATTCCGTGTAAATTAAAGGCAGACGAAAGTTCAAACGATTAATAAAATGAGCAGAATTTATACTCAAAATCTTTCAACTGTTGAGTTCGACGTTCTATCGCTGAGCAATGCAAGTCGAACCTGTCGAAATAGGCAATTTAATACCCTCTATCACGAGAAAACAAAAGACTACACGCTATAGTGTTTAAATATCAGCGTGCACTGCCTTCAAGAAAAAGTGATCCTTTTTGGTGGCACAGAATTAATCGACATCAGCGCCGCACTACACATCAGGTGGTAAAATAAACCGCTACCTATGATTTCCATGTCGACCCGTTCGTGAGATTCGTACATCATTGATGAATGTGACCAGCCACGTAATTCTAGTTTCCGTTTTCTCAAATATTCGAGTAAATGGTCTTTCTTTTGATGATCCATCATTGGCGGATAATTAAGCTTTTTCCATTCCTACAACAGAAATTAAATATTATGTAACATGTCTGAGAAAACGAAGTTAAAATCAGCAAAATTCGACATTTTAACGAATGCATGGGCGAGCAGGTCAAACGAAATCTCGGGCAGTTTTAGGTGGATGCCGTTATATTTAAAGAACTTTAATCTTTGATCGTAACATGCGCCAACAACAAGTTCACACCGTTTTGTCTGGGCTGAACTGCGTTTCCAACATTTCATTTTTTGACAGTAGTGAAAACCGCAAATCGTAGAAGCAAAACGGAATGCTGTTATCAGAACGGAAAATACAATCATCATAGTACGGCACGACAGAACATGGTGAAGGATACTACAGTAATGGTCCTTGAAAGTACGTTCTGGGTTCCATAATGAGTTGTAAATAAGGCAATGAGGCAGTGAGCGCGCTATGTGATTTTTAGCTTATGGTCTATCGCAGTTAAAAGTCAAATAACGGTGCCTCCAGGGGCTTCCGTTCAAAGCTATAACTGATGCTAAATCATCAACAATATCGTATCGTTCTTGACAAAAGAAGACAGACCAAAAGGTACAGAAACACCGGAAAGAAGTGGGGCAAAATCCGATGGCACATCATTTCGCCCATGAAGTGTTAAAAAGCATGATTATTTGCTGTGTTCATCTGAATCGGAGAATGTGATATTGTAATGCCGGATTTCGCACTCGTGTACGCTCATTTTCTTACCTATGATACTGAGAGAACAGAACTTTTAGCCCATGCTCACAAACTTGAACAGGTCATTAACTTTCATGTTCGTTTTCTAAAAACGCATGTAAACAAAAACATGCCAAAGAACAAAAAATCTATCACGACGATGTAGGTTGTTATGATGCACAACACGTATTTTCATAAAAGCTTTGAACAGACACAAAGAATAAGGCTTTTAGTGAGATGAAATATACACAACTAGCTCTGATCGTAAGTCCCTACACTAACCTTCAATTCTGAAGCCAATGATAACTCAGGATCGTCCCGATAAATAACGCCAGAAAACTACCGAAAATGCTCTGGTTAGACTTAGTATATGTTACCAATTATTAGAAGTTTCTGTTTTACGCAGTGTTTAAAACACTTGCAAAGATCTTGGCAACCCAAACATAAAAAGAATTTTTAATCAGAGCGATATAAAACATTTTTAATAAACAAACGGTATATAGAAAAATTAACATTAAATTTTTACGTCATGGCAGCGTTCCGGAAGAGGGGCGTTGAACCCAGGATATTCGATAATACAGCTTTCATCCAGAGCATCTTAAGTCAACTGATAGCAGGAGATTCTAAGACACAAAAAACTACTTACCTGAACATGATTCTTCTCTCACGCCTAAAACAATTCACAATATTAAAAATCAATGAAAGGCAAAAACGAAAAATTATTCCCAACTATGCAGGGAACAGCAGCATTTTATTACCTTTACATTGAAAATGCATATGAATGTACTAAATGCAACTTTAAAATTCAGACAAGCAATGCTAAATTGAAACTGTTTTAAAATTTAATCCAGAACAGAAAATTTAAATGTCTCTTAAGGCTCACTGTTAAGCAAAAAGCTCTGTAATGAATTGATCGAAGTGCACTGTAAAACACAATGCCATAGATATCGCAAATACGGAATAGTCTAAACACTTAATAGCGCACAAATATATACAACAGTAGACATAACCTAGAATATATAGTTTTCATATTTTTATATGTAAAGATTTGATTATTGGGCGGATTACTTCTCAAAAACTAAATTTTATTGAATATTGCATCGCTATCCCACACTAATATACACAGGAGGCCCTCAACGCTGATCACAGCTCCATAATATTTAAACATCTACCATTCTACGTGCATCTTTGGTCATGCCATTTGTTAGAACAGTTCATCTTTGTTCATCAGGAAAAAATGGGTTCGTACGCCGCAGATGTACCATCCAAGGCGGTAATTCCTATACACCGCTCTGGTGTGAAACTGTTTCAAAACTGAGTCTATACCGATGTGGATAAATTATTATTGTAGATAGTAACATATATCTGTACATCTCAAAAGTGCGTGCATATTATTCGTGATATATTAACAACAGTAATTAACTGATCATTTTTCGCAAAATTGAATGAGATTATCACTGCCCAATTTTTTCGATACCACGTTTGTCTGTGTAGTGAGATTTTTCACGAAAAGCTCTCATATTTAAGCTTATAGCCCCATCTGAGCCGAGGCCTTCCAAGTCAAAGCTTTTAGCCCCTAGGATACAACTACATCCATCAGCCGTCAGTCGTGCTGTAGTTCAATTGGAGTTGCTCAAAGTCAAACGGTGGCAATATTTCTTTGTCCTTTCAGTGTCTTTCGATCTTGGTAATGGTTTTGGCCATTAACTGAGCTTGACAAGAGTCTTGGACGCAACGTCCGTTTACTCTTCATCATGGCAGAATGGGATATGAAGATACGGCTTAGTGACGCTTGACCGATTCACAGAATGTTTCAGTTAGGTCAGTTACAATCAACTCTTCTCTGGTATTTTCTCCTCCGCACGGCGGAGTGGTGCTTCATCTCATGTAAAACATATATTATTGCAAGTAGAAAGACTGCCAAGCGAAAGACTGGGTCTATAATATAGGTTTCTCTAATCTGGCTGCATTCAAATTTGGACCCGCTCCGAAAAAACTGAAGGAAGAGATGGAATTATCTGTTTTTGAGAGGAAACATGGGTCCAGACAAAGAAGGAAAGTGAAAAAAAGAAAATCAGCTTATACAAGCAAAACTAAACAAAAAAACAAGCACATTAAAAAAGCGTTCAAACAAAACCATTATCATTACCATTATCATTGTAAAGTGCTAAGCCATCGTATTCTTCGATCGCAGATTGGATGTAGCCGGGTGGATAACCAAGCAGTCGCATCTTGTATATCCAAGGAGGCATATCATTTTTGTTTATGTTCAGTGCCCGTCGCAGGTCGTCACTGAACAAACACCAGAACAATCAGCAAATGAATTCTATGCAAAAACTTCAACACAGTACCTGATTTTGCCAGGTCGAAAGGCAGCGAATCGAGGATCCAAGTGATAACGCCTGAAACAGATAATGGATCAAAGAAGTGACAATATGGGTGACAAATCAGTTCACTTACGCATGTCCTTCTTTCTGTTGTTTGGTCTTCGCTTTCATTTTCTCAAACTCGCGTTTTACTCGTTCGTCGTCCATCGGCCGCGGACAGTCATTCACGCGATGACCGACGTCCCCGCAGTTGAAGCACTGATGCTTTCGGTTCAAGCGCAGATCCGTCTCAGGCGAAGCGTGCGAAAACGACATGTTCACGGCAAGACTATATCTATAATACATAACAAAGTACAACTGTTACGCGAAAATCATCTTTGAAAAGCAGGGACTATAACGGATAAAAACGTTTCTGCTGAATTAATTAAACCAACCAAGTAACTCCTCATTTAATTGGTGTCATCTGAATTTCAGAAGTTGAATCGCATGATCGATAGGCATACATAACATTAGAGGTGTCGTGTGATCGTAGCGGTGATGATAGTTTTATCCAGCGTAAGACGTAGGCCGAACAGCATCGTCTTCATCTTCCTCTCAGTAAAAATGGGTCAGTCAATTTTAACAGTACTGTATCTTCAAGCAACAGTATTCCATCTCAATACGTTGCAAGTATAGAAATTTATCTCCATACGACTGAAAAGCGATGGTTGAGTGGAGTGCCAATTTGTCAAGACCATGCGTTAAATTTTAGGCCCCAGACAAGAAACAGTCATCTGTATTCAATCGAGTTGCGCTCTGTCACCTTTCCTGTCCAATCTTCGTATACAAAACATTCGACCACAGATTAGAAATTAGAACAAACTTCGGTAGAAGGAAAGAGACTTCGTACGTTACGGCTTGCCATTTTCTAATCTGATCATACAACGCTGACGAATTTTCGTTTCTCGGTCACAAAATTCGTTTAAGATAGAACTAAGTTCCTGGAAGGAGGTCTAGTGGGGCTCAATGTCATACAGGGTAATTGGAGTTAATGTGTGACTTCTGGCTATTAACATCACAGTAGTCATAATCAGGTTAAACCTGAGAATAAAGCTTTGGCTTCTGATGTTCCGTTCATGCACCAGTCATTGCAGCGACGGTAGAAACGCTGACATTAATGTTACGTCATCTGTGCACCACATGCTGGTAATCAATTAATATTTCTTTTAACATTAAACAAGATGCAAAGTTTTTACGTTCCTGTCAGAATAAAGACATTACCCAACAGATCAAATGCCAGCGACAAGGGCATCACTGATATATTCACCTGATTACAATAAGGCATGCTGTTAAATATTTTATGAAGCAATTCAGCTCAATACACAGAGTAGCATCAAGCAGACTGACACGCCACATTATTACTTTGGAATCAGAGCTGGGTCGCAGAATGGCTCCGGTTCAGCAATGGGTTCTCGGTCAATAGCGTAAAACGATTCCGCACTGTTGCTGCCTGAACGCCTATTGGATCGCTTTGATACATTTGAAAATACGTCCGCATCGGCTTCTGCCAGAAGAAATTGAAGGTGCTTAAACTCGTTCCTATAACGCAGAGTCATGTAACATAATCAGAAGTAGTAAACAGACATAAAAACAGCAGTGCAATAATTCAACATTATGCAACAACTAAAATGCGATGCGCTAAAACTCCACGTCGCATGCAGTTTCACCCAATGAGTGACATTTTATAAAACCTTTATCTGAAAAAGCTTTTCTGACAACCTGACGCTCCCTGAATGTGAAAACTGCGGTGAAAAATGACAAACTTAAAAATAATCAGGACTTTTGCGTCTTTTTTGTCACTCTGATAAAAGCGAGTATCGGAAAACGAATTCATCCAAATACATGGTCATTGTTTAAATAAATAATTATATCATTCAGTCGATCATGCAGTGTCGAGGACCGATTATTCTTTCAGGTCTCAAGGGGAGATGCGTCACACAGTGTCTACAGCGTTTCCAATCCTTGGCCAGCGTCTGCGCTTCTACCGAGTCTGAGGAGAGTCCGTCGAGTTACTTGCCCTAAGTTATTCTTGTAGGTCATCGGAATTTTCGACTGGTCGGCTGGGCAAGTAGAAGTTGCCCTGCCACCTATTCTGGAGACATTAGCAACACGAGCATAAGCCATTACCGTTGTGACTTCTCATTCTGAAGAAGCAGTGGCTGCACACCAAGGATCACGGAAATTTCTGTACTCCGGATCATGTCGAATGGTGACAGGCCGGCGATCTGTCTCAGAAAGCCCATTTTAGCTGCTTCTATTTGGGATCGAAGCTTTTCAGTCATGGCCAACGACTCATGACCGCGGATGAGCATGGGGAAGAAGACCAACTTGAACACAGAGTTTAGTCTTCATATTTAGCTCTGCATTAGACAAAATTATTCAAGATTGTTCAAGCAGACGCTACAGGCCAACCAAATTTACAGATCGATCTGTCCCAGTTATTTTCTATCATAAGTAAACATAACCCTGAGGTACGAGAACTTCACTTACTCCACTGCTCGACAGTAAATTTGAAGAGCGCAGTGGGCATAACAGCATATACAAAGCTATTTCAGAATACGGAAATGGAATCCATAGGTAGACAGAGATTTGCGTGTTCATCTATTCAGCTCAAGTAATGCAATTATGCTAAATATTTAATGCTAGGTGTTGAGCTCAGACTTAAATACGGACATATAAGATTGTCCGTTTTCGATTTTGGGCCAATGTTGCAATTTCAACCATGAACAAACAACTTGATGCTATTTCAAACATCTGACATAAAGTGAAGCTTTAAACGTAGCGGCCTCATGTAAATACATTATCTAAATGTTACACCAGTACATATTGTACATACTCTTGTATTTAGGTATTCTAAAACATATGTATATAGTGACTTACGTCAAAAATGAAAATAGCATTCACGTACGTGCATCTAGCAGCGCGAGCGCGTTTTTATTTGGGTCACCCTGCCTAGCTTGCATATGATGTATTGCATATACGATTTGCTTTAAATAATGTTCTGTGTTCATCAAGATGGCCTGTGAACAAGAATTCTAGGAAGCTGTAACGTTCAAAACAAAGGGGAGACGCCCTAAGGCATAACACCGTGTTCAATTTCAATGCACTAATCCTGAACCGATTGCTCTACAGCTTTCGTGTCACAAGTATGTGTATTGCAGACACGCAGCAAGAGCTGAATTAAATACCCAAAGAAACGGTATCCGCTAAACCGCCCATAACATTTGAACGTACTAAAGGCCAAATCAGCTAGTAGAAATAGGTGGCTTCGTCCTGATCACGCAGCGTTGTGCGGATATCACGACCGAGTAAAATATTCCAATATGACATGTTCGAGATAAATAATCGCTAGAAAGTTCGATTCGCGGTAAAATCGCAAACTAGTAAAAATTTAAAAAATGAGGTAGGAAGACCACTGAACGTATAATCTGGCTCAATCCAAGCAACAGCTAACACTGTTCCAACATCAAGTTCTAACCGTCATCAATGAAAATCGTTGTGACAGATAAACGGATGGCTGCAGAAGTTAACTGAAATACCGAGGCTGTAGCCTCAAAACATGCTCGAAGATACACAGCTATACTTAAAACGCATTTTTTTCTTGCATAAATTCTCAAACCGTCTATCAGAGTATAAAACCTAATCAGTGCACCTACTTCAGTCACATCTGGCTCAATCTAAATAGGTGGCTTCTCTGTTATTTTCAGTATCGTTAAAGGCAGTAGTCGAATGCAGTGGTAATGACTAAGAAGACAGCTATTACCGAACGCCCACGCCACAAAAACTTCATTTTAATATGAGCAACAATTTTCAAGATTTATTTAATATTCTGTATTCAATTTGATAATCAGTATCTGCAAACTGAAAAACCGTAACTGCAAAAAATTTAATATTTTAAATATGAAGCATCTCGAAAAACTAGCCTTCACCACGGAAAACAGATATATTCAATATTTTAAAAGGTACGCAGATGACATCTTTGTTGATGAGGAAGAAATACTGTTACTGGAACATCTAAACAGCTTCTGCGCAGGCGCTGTCTTGTTTAATATGAAGAAGGCGACAAATGGCAGTTTCCCGTTCCTACACCTGCTGGTGAAACACTAGCAGAACGTATATTCGCTAGAAAACACACACACACGAATCGATATCTGTATTACTCACCTTTCCGCCCCGAAAACGTAAAAAAGGTTGTTGTCAATAGGCTTCTCCAAAGAAAACCGAGGATTCGAGTAATAGGTGATTTAAACACAAAAAAAACTAAATCACATTAGACTGACTTTGCAAAAAATGATAACCGGATGAAGATATTAACTGAAGGCCTAGTAAACTTTTCAACACAGTCTATCTCTATCTGCCCAAATGATAATTACATTCGCAAGCTGATTTAAAATCTACGACGTACCGCGTCTAAAGTCGGTCTAAACACTGTATTCAAACTCGGTATAACAGACTGCAAATGCCTCCGCCATCTGAAGATAAAGACACCGATGATGACAAGGGTTGGGTATACCATCTCCAGTGCTCATGTGGTACACTGTAAATCGGTGAGACAGACAACCCCCTCGAGGAAAAATCGAGCATAAATGAAACCTCATCAACTAGAAGAACACATATACCAATGAAAACGGTCGGAAGCAAATAGGCAAAAGACAGAGACAAACAAATGATCTCAAGAATATCAAAACGGAAAAGACAAAAATTCTGCTCTAGTAGAACATGTCGTACTCCATCAGCATACCGTATCTTGGGCAAAGACGAAAAACATCGCAAGGGGAAACCAACATCTAAATCGTATAATCAAGGAAGCGCTACAGATCAACGCAACTACCCCGGTTATTCGTGACCTTGGAGGAGATGCCTGCAATATATGAACGAAAAACATCAAACGGTCGTTTTGGTCTAACGACAGGCGCGGTATCATCGGACATTCGGGTCGACCCCGGAGTTAAAATAATATCGCGAATACCTCTTTCTAACTCTGAAGAGAGACAGAATTTGGACCAAAACGTCTGTATCTTTATATAATATGACTATAATTAAAAACTCTGAGTTGTCTGTATGTTCCTGACTTACGGAAACAATTGTCGTCTCCCACGTAAAAAACTCGCACAGTTTGCAATGGATTTTAAATTTACGATGTATATAATAAGTTTTTAAATACAATACATTAATAACTACTTTAAAAACATAATAGAATAAAATCAATTACAGGAAAAACTTTCCAGTACATATTTGTGAAAATCAGAATACCAAAAATGAAATTACTGAACAAAATAAACAATATTACATAGTTTAAAATAAACCAAAAAGCTTCTTCAAGCCATGCATTAAAAAAATGTCGAATACATGCATAGTAAATTTGCTTACTTTGGAATATGGTCCGATTTTCTAAGGTACACTTCCATTGCAAAATGCTTGGTATCCCTAAAAAATTAAGTGATAGTCGAAAGATAAAAAATCGTTATATGTACAAACTATGTTCGAACAGCTACACTGTGGGTAACTGGAATAAAATTGAGACAGACGAAAAATTCAAGTAACTGCAGTAAAATGTCGGAGTTACGATAAGCAAAA